AGTTTTTTTTTTTTTTTTTTTTTCTGTAAGTAACATAAAAAATATATATAACAGTTTTTAGACTCAAAGAATTCATTTAACAAGTTGATAACTAGAAACAATTATAAGTAGGTACGAAAAGTATATAGACAAAATTATAATGTGAGCATATTATATTTTTAAATTGTTGCATACAAAATGCAAGTGAAACCACGATAATTAAAAATTAAAATTGTGAGCAGTTTTAAATTAAAAAAACATCAGAAAAGCAATTTTTAAAAATGACCATAAGCACACGTAACCAGACAACTCAAACTGTACCCATAATGAGCCTAGTTTGGCATAGCATGAAAACCAGTATAACACTGATATCAGCATGTATTTCATCATGTTAGTTATGTTGATGTCATATTTATTATGAAGCTTCTGGAGGAAGTTGTGATGAATAGTTTATAAGGAAAGTAGATGAGTAGTTGCTTCTAGAGGGGGTGTAAATTCCATTCTTCATGTGTCATCCATCTCACCGTTATTGGAACACTAACCTTTATTGCAAACAAGTCTCCAGTTGCTCGTTTTCTGGCAAGGAAAACTCGACCATATGCACCTCTACTAATTGGTTTAATTATTTCAAAATCTTCAATCGATGTTCGATCTTTTGAACATGTGTTAACAGGACTTGCACGTAAACTACGAACAGCATCATCTTCCACTGAACTCTCTTCATCGACGATTCCATTTGAAGAGTCTACTTTATCATCTTCTATTTGCCCACAAAGTTGTACATATTTTTCCCTGTAAATGCAGAAATATCAGGATGTAACCATAGAAATAGATGTGAGTAATATCAATTACTGGAGGAAAAAAGAAGGATGCAGAGTAGGTCATAGTAATGCAAGAATAAAATAAAAATGTAGCATGTTGTCAGATTTTTATCTTTCCACAAAATAATATATTGTACAGCATTTGAATTGTGAAACAATCAAGTCAACTCACTGCAAGAGCTTCTCTATGCGCCTTCCAAAAGTCTCCACGACAAGAGCATCCACCTTCCTATCCTGGATTGCATATTTAAGGTCTTCTAACCGATCAAGCATAGACTCCAATGCACCATAGCCAGAGTTGTTAACATTTGCAATGGAACGAACAATATCCAATAATTTGTAAATCTGTTATTCCACATACATGTTATTTGAGACATTTAACATGAATGAGTTCTTGAAAAATTCTTTTTACAAACTAAGAAAGACTAGAAGTAGTTATTCATATTTTATGCAAAATACCAAAATAATACCTTCAAGTCTCAACAGAATCAAAGGACAAATAGGATGTTGCTATGATATAAGGAAAACACTACCTGCTGATAATTTTCAAGTTCAGATATTGTTCTTCGCCCATGCAACGCCAACTCAATCTGGCTGGATCTGGGTGTTAAAAGAGGTGATCTTGGTGTTAGAGTTCCAGCTGACAGTGATTTTGTACTGTGTTCTGGTGTGAAATTAAATGGTCGATTGTATGATGGATCAGGAAAGGTATCCTGACTTTCCATACAAAAAGAGTTGCCAGTAACAGGGAGGGAATCAAGCAAATCTTCTGAGTTTTGACAAGACAAATTGATTCCTTTAGATGATAACTCAAAAAAATCTTCTTGCATACTTGATGTAGAAACCTTAACAGTATCGAAATTTCCACAGGAAACATTGCTACTTCTCGGTGTACTTTTAGGTGTCCAAGACTCTAGTATTTTATCAAGAGCTGTAGCAACCCGTGCAAGGCGCTCGTTCACAGTTAAACCTTTCAAATCACACCTATCGGCAATCGTACATATTCGAGAATGCTCCTCAACATGAATGGTAGGAATTTCAACCTCACAAATCCGACATATCATCAGATTCTCAAAAGTAGCATTTTGATAACCCCATATTCCCCAAGATAGTTTTTGTTCTTTAGGAGGTGCTTCAGAATGCGCAATAGGAATAGATGGGGTATCTAATTGATTGATGCTCCCAGTCTTAGCTTCATGTACATGCAACGTTTCAAGTTTATCCTTAGAAGGTGTTTCAGTAGTGTCAGTGTCTTTCCGGTTCTTAGCAACTGCTGATGGTAGCTTTTTCCAGGATGACATCCTATATGTGCTTGTAGATGAATCATTACTTATGGCAGAGTCCAGATCAACATTTCCAGCACTACTACCAAAACTTGGACCTGAATGGTGCTTCACCATGCGACTGGCTTGATCCTTCCCAACCAACTTCAGCTGCTGCTCAATATCTTCTTTCGTAGTCAATGGATCGCCAAAGTCGAGTTGTTCGAGCTTCCTAATTTTCTCTGGATAAATTCCTGGATCATTAAGTTGATGAAGACCCAAAATGTGCTCATTTTCATAACCACTTTCCTTTCTAAACTGAATAAGCCTAGTACATCGTGTCAAGATGAAAAGAAGGCGGGTATGGGCTTGCTTAAGAACCCCTAATGGCAGCTCCTGCCGCCGGTCGTCTAGATTTTGGACAATCCCTTCACCTTTCGCCCAAAAATCAGTAGGTGACATTGTTGCACATTTCCGAGCAACCACCAATAGGTCCTCCAAACCTTCTCTTATTTCAGGCAGAGACCGGTCTGTCTTTTCAAGTGTATCCACCAGATCTCCAGCAAAAATACCCAGTTCGTAATTAACATCATCCTTCAATCTGTCAAATTTGGCTCTGATAGCCACCATGATCTCCTGAAAATTAAAGCAAGCAACAGGTAGCTTCGTTCAACATAGCTGGAGAGAAAGAGAACAGCCATTACCACAAAGGTGAAATAGAAGGAAGAACATACTTCCAGATATCCAAAGGCCCGAGGCTTCCAAACTGGAAAAGGGCGAACTCCCTTGGAATTAAGCTCGTGAGAGAAGCTTTTGATATCCAGAGTTCTCTTCTTTTTTCCACTAGTAACACGCAGTATGGCACGGAATCGTGGAGACTGAATTTCCTTTCCAAACGCTACATGATTAACCTAATCAAGAACATCCATCGATGAACTACATTACGTAACCAATCTACTCCATCAGTGGTACGGATTTTACAACGCACAAACTCAGATACAGATACAACTAGAGGTAGAAGAACAGCAAGTGAAAATCATTACCTCAAAATCATGATTCAGAGCTGTTGGATATCTAAACGATTTCGATTGACTCCACAGAACTTTTTTCCCTAACCAAACGCGAATAAATTTTACAAAACAATAGCAATCCTCACACTTACATAACCACGCACCAAAACAGAGCCAAGAGAAAAACAAAAGAAAACACATGCATCACACATTCTACATACCATGATCAGTGGAGGAATGTTTTGGCTCGGGATCGGTCCCAGCGGTGGCATTAGTCCTGGAAGTTTCTCCCAAATTGGAGGGCGTGCCAGCGGCCAAGGTCCGTTGCGGCAAAGGACCAGACCGCGTCCGAATGTGGTTCAACCCGAGAGAGGAGGCCATAATGATGGAGGAATCGTCAGGTTCATAAGGAAAATCCTCGTCAAGGCCGTATTCTTCATCGGAATCGGAGTCTCCGGCATTGGATATGGAACCGCGGAGAAGAGGAATGGCGGGGATCTTGCGGAGCTTGGCGACAGAGGAGGATGAACCATGATCGGAGGGAGGTCGTTGGGACATAGAGGAGAGGTAGCCGGAGAGAAGGAGTTTTTCCGGTGACGGTTTGTTGAAGATTGAGGAATTGTGGCATTGGGAGAGGAGAGCGGTTGACTGAGAGAGAGGAATTTTCGCGGGAAGAAGAAGCCGTAAGATTAAGACACGTGGAAGAGGATGAATCATCTCCGTTAAGATCTTGCGTTGCTTTTTTTAATGCCTTTTCAGTTTTAAAATATGCTTCCCGCTAAGTGACGGATTGATCGTTGCCGTCTTCACCCGCTTATTCAAATTTCACCTACAAAATTAAATCAATAAAATACATTTATTCTTAAATTTAATGAATAATTATAAAAAAATTAAAAATTCTTTTATGGGTCTATTATTAAAACTTTAAAAAATTTAACAGAACAGAAAAACACACTCTCCACAATGGATATGATATTATTCCCTTTGAGCATAAGTTCTCATGACTTTCTTTGGCGTCTGCAAAAGACTATTCCTCACTTAAAACCCATGATCATTCCCTAAATTAGCCGATGTGGGACTTTCATCATCCAACACCTCCCCTCGAACAAAGTGCGCCTCCCCTTAATCGAGACTCGACTCCTTTGGAGTCTTAATCATTTTTTACTGCCTTCGAGGAGGCTCGGCTCCTTTTATTTCGGAGTTCTTTGTTCAATATTTGAGGATTTACCAATCTATTGGCATGACTAAGTTTAGAGCATGACTCTGATACCATAATAGACGAACGATCAATGGTATGATATTGTCATTTTCTAAATTAGTCGACCTCCAACAAATTTAATCTATTATTTTTTATTTTTTATTTTTGAAAAGTAATTATAAATAATCCGAGTGAGAGTCAGCAGGTGTAGGGTCCCATCCATCCGCGCCAAAAATATCTGAGGAGCCTCAACTTCCACAGCCACAAACTCTCTGGAAAACCGATCTTTGTCCTTCATCTCCATTTCCATGTCCATCTTCACCTTCTCCCCTTCTCCTTCTCTTTCCTTCTTCACTCCTCCAACTCCTCCCCGTCGTTCTTCTGCATTTCCGGCGGCAACGCAATCCTCTGCCAATCTCAACACCGTAGCCGGAGGACTCGCCCTTCTTTGGTTCAAACATGACCTCCGAATCGACGATCATCCTGCTCTCCATGCCGCCGCCTCCCAGTTTCCCGCTCTCATCCCTCTTTACATCTTCGATTCCCGCTTACTTTCGCGTAACTTCTCTTTCTCTCTATTCTGCTTGTGGATTTAATGGCAATGTGGATACTAATGGAAGTTGTTTGTCTGTATAGTGTCTGCCATTAGATGATGAATGAAGTTAATGGATCTGCAGGGTTTTCTGATGAAATGCTTGAGATTACTCTTCTTGCATTGGAAGCTCTGAAGCGTTCGTTGAGGGATCGGGGTTTGGATTTGTTAATCAAGTTTGGGGACGCGGAATCTGTACTCCGGGAGCTTGTAGTTGAGGTGACGATCAGACTTTTCTTAGGTTTCAATCCTATAATAAAAACTTTAAAGAAGAAGTGGAAAAAATATATTGTTCAAATTTACACCATATAAACTTAAGAGCAATTAAGAACATCGAGTTATGTAACTATAGATTCAAGCTACTTTAAGTGGGAGTGGGACTATCTAGATTTATAGTATTTCATTGTATTTTATGTTTTAAGAGTTTTTATTTAGTTTTAGGTTATATTTCTAACTTAACTAATTATAGTAATTATATTCCTGAAGTAGGAATATTACAACTCTTGAAACAGGGCTATATAAAGTCATATATTGTCTTTGTAAAATGGACTCAAACTTTCCTTTCTTATCACTATTAACGATGAATAATAATCAAAGGTCTTCTTTTTTGAGAAAAAAAACAGCATATCAAATGGATAGTAATGTAACAAAAATGATGCGTCTTTTGTGAGTATTCCCCATTTTTGTACTAAGACTACCTTTTCGTATCTTTATGAATAAGATAATACGATGCTATTTCTGATGTTTGTGTTATCCCTATTTACTTTGTTTGTTGGAGTCATAGGAATTCCGTTCACTCAATTCAATCAAGAAGCAATTGAGTTGAATATATTAGACAAATGGTTAACTCCGTCTATAAACTTGTTACACATAGCATTTATTCCTTTTTAGTTTAGGTTGCATGCATAGAATCATTCGTGCTTGACATGATCTATCCATTTAAATTTCAAATAAGTTTTCTTGCCATGAAATATTTGATCTAATCTAGATCTTACTTTTTCCTTGAGCTAATTTTCTTATCATTTTGAGGTTATTAGATATTTTAGATGTAAAGGTCCTAATTTTCAAGAGTCAGTTGGGATGAAACTAACTTGATTTGGGAGTTTTAGCCGTTTTGCAATCTAGGAATTTTCACATTGTTAGAGTTTTTAGTATAAGTTGTACTTTTGTTTATTACTTTAACTACTATGTTTTGAACAGGTTAAAGCTACACATGTCTTTGCTGAGGAAGAAGTAGAGCATGAGTTATGTGTGTTGATGGATGGGGTATCTCAGACATTGTCCAGTCTGATTCAGAGTCCAAATCTAACAGTTTGGAGGACGCCATTTTACGACATTAAGGTCTGTCTGTGGATTTTACTCTAATACTCTCCTTCACATTGCCGCTTTGACTTGTTGATTTTCATCCACCGTTGCCGTGTGTACCAGAGCTTAGAGGCCTTACCTGCATCATACGACGAGTTTAGGAAGCTTCAACTTCCTGTAAGTTCTCCACTTTCTTCTCCAACATTACCCTGTTTGAGACTGGAATTGAACTGGGGTACGTTCTGTGCACGAACTTTTACCTTTGGAGAACGAGAGTGGCATCCATATTGTGGCGGCCATGATAAATAATACTTCATTTGTCTGATAAGTTGGCTAAAATCATTAGGTACCATGCCCACATTTGATGCCTTGAAGGAATTTATGAATAGTAATCGATTGTACAAACCAAGTGAAGATTGGGATTCGATCAAGAATACAACAGCTGAAGCTACTGTTCGGGCTAAATTTTCTAAAAGAGGAAGCAATGAAAAAAATCCAAGTTCGAAAGAATCTAGGACAGAGAGAATGGGGAAATCAATTTTTTCCACACAAAGAGGAGTGAATTTCCTGAGGGGAGGTACAGAAGGTCCGTTGAATGCATTAGCTGCATACATAAGATACAATGAGGGAACATCTCGAGATGACTGGCAAGCGTAAGTGTTCAAACTTCTCTTCCTCATACTGTTATCTAAGTGCTAAGGGATTTGCAACCCTTTGATACGTTTCCTTATTCATATCCATATGTTTTGCTGGCTCATCAATCCACTACGATTGATTCTAATGATCTTGTCGTGTAATTTTCAATACCCTTTTTAGCTATTCCTACTAATATGTAAATTTGCATACCTTTTTCATCACAGAGGACAAAAACATAAAGCTTTCATATTCTTGTTCTGTTCTCATTTACATTTTTATGATGCAAAAGAATAGCTTGAAGCATTAATATTTATTTCAACGAGTCATTAGATTGCCCATTGAGGTCTACGTTTTATGCAGATTACACGAAATGGTACGCAATTCTGAAAGCCGAGATGGAGCTTCATTTATCAAACTCTTTGGTCCTGCCATTCATCTGGGAATGATTTCTAAAAGGAGAGTGCATTATGAAGCCATCAAATATGAAAAGGAAAGAAATGCTGGGTTTCTGTCACCTTTTGGGTACTCAGCAGGCACTGTTGCTGCAGCAGTTGATGCTGTTCTCTCCTCAGAGGTACGTCATTTAGTTTAAAGTTTCAAAATGTACTTTTGTTTGATTGGTTGGTTTTAGAAATTGTTCCAACTCCATGAAGTTTTACATTTATAGATGAATTATAATATTAAAGCATCTTTAGGTTCTAATTTGATTTTCACAACACAGTGGTATTCACTTATGTGTCTGAAGAGCAAAGGAAGGCATTTGGGAAGCCTCTCTTATCGAACTTGGAGATGGAATGGCTTTCTTGTTCAGGTTGGTATATTCTCTGCAAAGTTTTGGCCATATGTGTAATGCCTGATTTCCTCAAAAAATGCCCCTTTTCAGTACACAGTTTATGGATGTGACGGCCCTGCCATGCTTCTTGTGCATGGTTTTGGTGCTTTTTTGGAGCATTTCCGAGACAATATACATGGCATTGCTGAAGGTGGAAACCAAGTTTGGGCTATAACAATGTTGGGATTTGGGAGTTCAGAAAAGCCGAACATTGTGTACAGTGAACTAATGTGGGCTGAGCTTCTTAAAGATTTTATCGTTCAAGTTGTGGGCAGACCCGTACATCTTGTTGGAAATTCAATTGGTGGTATGTACAAACTTACTGGATATATTACCATAAGCTCTCAAAGCTTCTTTCCTACAACCCTTTCAAGGAAGTTTGCTTGCTTGCTTTTCAGGCTATATTGTCGCTATTGTTGCTTGTCTTTGGCCTGCTTTGGTCAAATCCATTGTCCTCATCAATAGTGCTGGCAGTGTGATTCCAGGATATTCTTCTTTGCCCTTCAATAAGGTGAGTTTTCTGAACATTATTATGTCTCAGCTTTCCGTAGTTAGCTTCGAGTATGTGCGGGGTTGTGCGTTAAGGCCACATAGGCGGGGTGAGAGGATATTAGTATATAAACTAGACCCCTCTTTCTTGTTGGGCTAATACAAACTTCTCTTTTAATCACAATCAAGTCATATTTGAACTCCAATGCCTTCCTACATGCTCTTGTTCTTGTTGACGCATTTATACACATACTCAAATCCATATCACCCATTCATCAAACAAACGACCATAGAACAATGACATATTGTTATCATCTGCACTCAAATTACGGATACTAATTCCGTCAATTCTAAAAAATAAACTGATACGTGGAAATCACTACAAGAGAAGTAAGATTTGGATTACCTTGTTGATCGAATATCTCAAGGCAAGAACATTGTTTGAGATTTGAATCACTCCACAAGCAAGATCGATCATGCCTAGCTTGAATGATTCTTGTTGATCAAATATCTCAACGCAAGAACACATGTTTGAGATTTGAATCACTTCACAAGCAAGATTGATCATGTCGAGCTTGAATGATTCTACATGCAACCTAAACTACATAGAATTGCAAAAAAATAACATAGATGGCTTTATATAAGCTCAAAATGAAACTATTAAAGGCATGGCAAGAGTTGTAACATTCATATTTAATGGCCATAATTAACCCTTATGTAATTGTAACCTAATGTAAATAAAAAGTCTTAAAATACATTAATGAAATACAATAACTCTAAATTACTCTAAATTGTAATCCACCCAAAATTTATAACATCAAACTTCATTTTTCTTCAATGTGACATGAATTGAAATATCTTTAATAATTTCAACACTATTTTCTTCACATTTTCATTGAAGTATATTGTATGATTGATGTCTCTTGATTCATATCATAAACTTAAAGGTTATAGAACCAAAATGAGACCGAATATTGTCTTCTTTTTCGTGACTTTCACATATTGTCATTTGCATACAGGAGAAGCAGGTTTCTGTTGCTGCATGGCTGGGTGCTCGACTCCTTTTAACTTACTTAAGAGTGAAAACCAAGGACATAGTGAGGAATTGTTACCCTACTGTATGTGAACTAATGTCCCAATTTTGTACCATTTCCTTGCATTTCATGTCATAGAACTTCATAACTTTCCAACACTATTTTGCTGTGCAGAGAACAGAGCGAGCTGATAACTGGCTTGTCAGTGAGATGCTGAGAGCTGTATCCTCATCTGTAAGCTTTTGTTATGATGTCTAGAATCATCAGCTTCACTTTTCATTACAGATTGTGTAAGTTTTGCCATCAAATATCACCTTAACGGATCATGAAAAGTCCAAAGATCCCGGAGGCCTGGTGGTTCTGGAAAGTATTTTCAGCTTTGATCTTTCCGTTCCCCTTAATCATCTGTTGGAAGGATTGGAGGAAAGGGTTCTTATTATCCAGGTAAAAGGATGGTTAATTTTGAAGCAAGTTGTTCCTGTCATTAAATGTTAGAAAAGAAAGCAATAAAAGATAAGGAAATCAACTACAATGGGAGTAAGATTCGGATTACCTTGTTGATCGAATATCTCAAGGCAAGAACATTGTTTGAGATTCGAATCACTCCACAAGCAAGATCGATCATGTCTAGCTTGAATGATTCTTGTTGATCAAATATCTCAACGCAAGAACACTTGTTTGAGATTTGAATCACTCTACAAGCAAGATTGATCATGTCGAGCTTGAATAATTCTACATGCAACCTAAACTACATAGAATTGCAAAGAAACTTAGTCATTGGCTAAAAAAGAGCACGAATGCTTCTTTTACTATATTTTTCAGTCTCTTTACAAATACAACATACATGACTACTAAATGCAGTTGTAACATTCATACTTAATGGTCATAATTAACCATTATGTACTTGTAACCTAAACTAAATTAGAAGTCTTAAAATACATTAATGAAATACAATAACTCTAAATTCTAATCCACTCAAAATTTATAACATTAAACTTCATTCTTCTTCAATGTGGCATGAATTGAAATATCTTTTTGATGATTTCAACAATATTTTCTTCGCATCTTCATTGAAGCATATTGTATGATTGATATCTCTTGATTCATATTACGATGCATTTGATAGGGAATGAAAGATCCAATCTATAACTCCAAGGCTGTGTTGGCGAAGCTTAAAGAGCAGTGTGTAGGGGTTACGATCAAGGAATTGGATGCTGGTAACATCATTTTATTTGTTTTATTTTCAAACTAATATAATATTTTTGCTGTTCTAACTTTAGTTTCTTGTATTCTCAAATTTTCAGGGCATTGCCCACATGATGAACTGCCTCAACAAGTTAATTCTATTCTCTGTGAATGGATACTGAGACTGGAAACTAAACCGAAGGTAGACTCACAATAACCATATTTAGTACTCTTTTCAAGTTTGAAGCCATTATTTATATTGAAGTACTCTTATAGCACCTGATTTGTTTATAGCCTTATAAATATGAATTAACTGTTTATTTAGTAGAATAAAAAACCAACAAAAAAAAAAAAAGAGTTTGAAGGTTGTCTTCACCTCACATTAATTGTTGTATAATTTGACATTTGACCCCGGTAAAAGATCTCTATTCTTAATTTCAATTTTTCTCGGTTTATTATAACTTTTTTTTTTTATTATTTATTTATTACATAAGTAAATGAACAAATTCAATAAATTTATAAATTTTATTTTATATTAAAATAGAAATATATTATTATTATATTAAAATTATATCATTAAGAAAGAAGGAATAGAGATTTTTATTTTTATTTTTATTTTTATTTTTATTTTTATTCAAAGATAGATTTGAATCAATTTTTTCAAAGCTCAGAATAGGAAAGAAATAAGTTTTATTATTTATTTATTTGAATCAATTTTTTTTTTTTTTTTTGAAGCAATTCAGAATATAAAAGAAATAAGTTGTAGTATTTTTATTTAAAAAATTTAGTAATTAAAAATTGTTACAAAAATCAAGTGTATGTTTCTTTAATGTAACAACTTGGTATTATAGTTTATAAATATATTCTATTCTAATAAGTTTTTTCATATACATTTATATAAAAAAAAAATCATTAAATCTTAATTTTATTTTTCAAAAAATAAACTATAAAAGCATTATAAATTTTGCATTGCAATAATTTTAAGAGTAACATATTAACATTTACCATACAATGATAAGTGGTGTACACAATATAGAAATTATTCCAAGGAGACCAAAATCAACATTCCATTTCTAAGAATTCATACCATATTCTCACAATCTACGATGTTCTTAGCGTACGAGGTGAAACACAATTAGATGAGAGTGGCAGGTTTGAAAGACCATTCACATTTTAAAAATAAAAGCACATTACGTTATATTCTAACTTCTGATCCAAATACATAATTCAAAGATATATAAACGAAATAACAGCAGGCCAAAATCTTCCTCTCAAAATAAGTTATGAACTTCAAAATTATGACAAAAATGGATGATAATGCATTAACCTTAACATTTCAGATTTGAAGCAGGGCAGACACACAGAGTACATAGACCTCTAAATAACTACGAGCAGAGTATAGAACTCGGGAAATATTGGAAAACACATCAATCTGCAATTGTGACTTCAACCTCAACACCCGGTTCGATGGTGATGGATGTGATCTGCTTAACAACGTCAGCAGAGCTAAAGAGGTCAATAACCCGCTTATGGACACGAAGTTCAAATCTGTCCCATGTGTTTGTACCTGCAACAAAGGCACAAGATTATTGACCAATGATCAGGATGGATCTTATTGGCCCCCTTGGCTTCTCTGATGAACACGGGGGCTAAGAGAAACAAATCAAGTCACCCAAGAAAACATATACCAAAATAACCAATATTAACTGAATAATTATAAACAATGCCAGACTAACTACACTAAATAGAGTCAATTATGATACCAAGTACAGAGGACTGGGTTTTACATGGAATATGATGACAATACATTTACTTCATATTACAACAAAGAATAATAAACTCAAAATTTGTGAAACCCATAAAAGCACAACTCCAAAGAACTTGCAGATCTCCCGTTCATACGTTTCCACAGTGTTTCGTGAACAAAGACATATTCAAGCAGCAGAATCACTAAAACTCGCATCCAAAGTTCAAGTGTGGAAAACAATAACAAGGCTAAGGGCTGTGGCTGTACATGGGGAGGAAGGATAAAGAGATAACAGAATTACCACAATATAACAAGTGTTTTTTTTAAGCTCAAGGTGCAATAGTGCAATGGCCTTCAAGGGCTTAAGCGCAAGGCACAAAAATAAATGCTGCCCTTTGTGAGGCACACTATAATGAAAACCACCTTATTTTGTGCACCTCGGTCTTTCCAAGGCCACGTGCCAGACCATCGGTTAGGCGAGCGCCGGGAGAGGCTTTTAAAAACAGACTAAAACACAAGGTGTGAAGCTACAAATATCATGATACCAATCCCAGGTTAAGAAAAATAAAAGATGGAAAATACAGTTCAGGGCTTTGATCCAGGTAATAATGACTAACAAGCAGCCAGAGAAATCCAAACACAGGCTTATAGTTATTCTTAAGTTAAGCATTGATTCAAAATTACCTTCACCGCAGGGAGATTTCCTGGTGGTGATGTGCAGGACTTTGGTTGGCATCCTCACAGGCCCCTTAACCCTCAATCTCTTGTCCTTGGCACCCCGAACCAAATCAGCACAAACTATTGATTGAAAAAGAAAGTAACCCGTGAGGATTAAGCTAACATTTACAAACCTGAAGACATCAATAAATTCCAATAATTCATAGAAACAAAGAAATTAGGGCAAGGAAAACCCTTGCTCAGTAAAGTCAAAACCCGAAAGAGGCTCCATTCCAACTTTGAATCATGGAAGACTCTCAAAGCGACCATCATAAATTCATTCGGTGGACATAACATAAGAACAATTCAATAATAAACAATCCATTGATCAAGACGAACATGAAAAATGAAAATCCGACGAATTACAAACAGCAACAACAACAACAATCATAGCGCAAATTTAGAAGAATCTATATATTTCCGAAACACATTACAAAAACGCAAAACCAAGAGACAAACAACACAAGAGTTCGAATATAATATCATAAAAAATAAAAAATCAACTTGCTTCAAAAACTGAGGGAAGGAGATACCCTTTTCAAGGTTCTTCACGTTCTTCGACGAAAGAGTGATCCTAATCTTGTGGATCTGCTCTTGTGCATCCTCCAAACCAGCCTTCGTAGGCTTCATCGCTGCATACGCCATATTTGCTTACTTCCTGAAAACAAAAATTCCAAAACTACGGAAATCAGATGTGAAAACAGTACAGCAACCACCATGTGAAGAGGTGCAGAAGTGGTGGAGAAGACTACCGGAGCAAGGGCGGCTTCCGCTGCTAGGTTCTGCAGTTGGAGGATTTAGGGAGGAGGAAGATAGAGTATGGAAGTTAGGGTTTTCATATTAATATCAGTGGACTACAGGCCCGAATACTAATGGATCGGCCCGAATTCGAAGGGTTTTTTTTTTCTTTTTTTTTCTCGGATAATAACCTTTTTTATTTATTGTTTATTTATTTTGAGAATATAATGACTAAATTTTTTTTAAAAAAAGAATCTATACATTATAATAATAATCTTCCATTTTACAAAAGAAAAAAAAAAAATAGGAACCTGTCTCGAGTGTCATGGTCATATTTGTTTAAAGCGTATTGTTTATGGGCACATGTCGGATGTCCCGGTCATGTTTATCGCGGACGTGTTTGTCTAAAGCATAAAAGAAAGTTAGAAAGAGACCCGCGGCGGCGGCGGCGGTTGAAGTGCAATGGAGCTTCGGTTTATCAAATTTCTATGCCCTGCTACAACCGCTGATTTTTGCATCCTTAATTGATGTTTTGGGCCTGGCCCAATATTTTATCAATCTTTCGCATCATTGTGATGGGCTTTGGACAGCCAAATTGGGCTCAAATTAAAGCCCACTAAACCACTTATTTCAAGTTCAAAACCACTCCAATATTAAACAAAATCCAACGGCTATGAGCTTAAATGAACACGAGCTGCTATATTGAATCACCCATTTTTTTATTGGGGACATTTATTTGAAATTTTATTTTATATATATATTGATAATATAAATTCGGGGGGCAAGAAATAAAAAATTGGCCCATTACAAAGGGGCTTGCCATGTGATATAAGGTCCCTCTAAATTATTTTTATTTTAGAAAAATAAAATAAAACCATAAAGTATCTTTATTTAATTTCTAACCCTCCAAAATAGTTGCATCAATATGTACTTGGACCACCAGCTTTTAGTCACGTCAAATTACTTGAACATAAACATTTAATTCCATAAAGTTAAAAATAATAATATCGATTCAAAAATATATCTTTTTTTAATTTAAAAAAAACAAATATCTAATCTTGTTTACCACGAAGACTTAATTCTTTTCGATTTAATTTTTATTCATGCGAACAAAAAAATATATATAATTTTTATTGAGGACAAAAATTATATTTCTTGCACCAATTATATGTATATATATATAAATTTATTTATTTATTTATATTTAAATCATAAGTAGAATACTGTATTACAATATTGGAATTTGAATTTTTTAAAATTATATTATATTTTTGTTTAGAAAATATATTATATCGGAAAAGGGAAATTATCGATTATTTTTTAATTAATATTTTAAAAATATGTATCTATATATAAAAAAAATGGAAAAAATAGTATGAATAAAAATTAAAATAAATTTTTTAAAAAGAAAATAAAATGAATTGTCTTACCTAATAGAAAATGGTAGGATAGGTCGCACTTTTCCATTTTGCCATCATGGTAAAGGAAAATGTTCTCGAAATTAGATACCGAGTTTAAAAAACGCTAATCCACGATCCAAATATTCGTGTTCATAAATCAATATTATTTAAAAAATAAATAAAAACTCTCTAACGCTTTTATTTTTAAAATATAACATTTAAAAATACGAACATTTAACCTAAAATAATAATTAATATCATAATAGTAGAAATAACTTTTATCATTTTATTTGAATTATTTTGAATTATAGAAAAATATATTTATTTATTTACCAAAATAAGATGAGTGTCTTTTAGATAGAAAAGTAAAAGAGGACCCAAATAAAAAAGTTGGGATTAAAAAGGGTCCATAAATTATTGGATTAAAAGGGTCCACTTGTCAAAAATATATATATAAATTTTATAATTTTTGTGAATTTTTTTTAAAGGGGGTGTAAAATAAAACATAAAAATGGTCGGTAATTAAATTTTATTTTTTTAAATACAATTTTTCATTTTAAGGTAAGAATTTAATTTTTTTTAATACGAAGTATGTGTAGTTTGTACGATAAATAAAATAAAAATCCCGACAAAAATTATATACTCATTATTTGATATGAACGAGCCCTCTAGCTAAGGCGAATTATTGAAATATCCACTCTCACGATACCAAAATGTTAGATCGTTAGAAAAAATACAGTCGATACTTCTCATCGTCATCTTTGGACTTCCACTCAAGGCTTTCAAATGGTGTTTTGTTATCCTCCCCAACCCCAACCAATGTGGGACATCACAATCCATCCCCTCCCTTCAGGGTCAGCGTCCTCGCTGGCACACCGCATTGTGTCTACCCCTTTTGGGGGAAGAGCGAGAAGGCTGACACATTGTCTAATGTCTGGCTCTGATACCATTTGTAACGCCCTAGACCCATCGCTAGCAGATATTAACTTCTTTCGGATTTCTCCTAAGTCTTGGTAGGGGAAGGTTTCCACACCCTTGTAAATGGTGTTTTGTTCTCGTCCCGAACATGGGACATCACAAGAATAATAATAAAGATATGGACAAAAAAAGAAAAGACAAGAAAGAGGAGGAGGAGGCTACATGTGAAGGGAAGGTCCAATTCCACAAACAATTAATTAAAAAATTAAAAAATTAAAAAATTAAAAAAGAAATGACGCTTTCATTTGATTGGTTGATGGGTTTTTGCATGGAATTTTGGAAAAGTTTAACTGAAAAAATAATTAAAAAAAAAAAAAAGCATTGTAATGATAATAAAATAGAACAAATAAAACTTTTTAAAAAGGTTATTTGAGTCAGAAAAGGGGTGTGGTTTGGACTTTGGAGAATCCCATGCTCTAAAAAGTGCCAAACCCTTTTATTATTATTATTATTTATTTTTATTTTATCATTGAAATTATAAGTTTATGGGTTTTTATATTTATTCAATTATTGAATTTTAAAATTATTTAATGGGTTTTAATTTTCGTTTTTGACGTATTAAATACATGATTGATTGTGTTTCTTGAATATTTTGTTTAGCTGAAAATTCAAAAATAAAAGGAAAATATAGGAATTATTAATGCTTAATTATTATATTTGTAAAATTGTTCTAATTACAAGAAGAGATATTGGACTAATATATTACAAAGAATTAGAAAATTAATATATTTAAAAATATTAAATAATACATTAGAATTGTTTTTTTTAATATAAATTATACTAAAAATGTAAAATACATTAATAAATGCAATAATATTTCACCACCTATTTTAATATCACAACCTAATTTTCTCAATTACTATATATATTATTTATATATAAAAAGTTAGATGGGCTGGTATTTAAGGAGGGTAAGAGGCGGAAATGGAAATATGATCTCTTTCTCGAGCTCGGTTTAGTTGACGAAGAGAAATTTCTCACTGCTCTCTCTCTTCCTCATTCATGGATGATTTCGTTTTGTTTTTTTTTTTTTTTTTTGTCA